CAACTAAAAGATATTTAAATAAAAAGAGATGAACAAGAGAATGAATAGCTCTTATTTCACTCAGGACTAGTGTAGAAGCAGACATTCTGAAATTTTTTCTTCATTTTGCAGCAAAACATGCGTCACCTCTCTAAAGTGAACACTTTTTGAACGGTCCCAGTGGTGTTCACAATAGAGAGATTTTACTGTATATTCTTTTCTTGTCTGTCTGCTAATTAATTTGGTGATCAAAAGTATTATTTTTGGAGATCATTTCGGTAGAAAGAAATTTGATGATCAAAACAAATTTTCCCCATATTGACTTATCAGCGTAACTCGTTATGCGTCAAGTTCAGTAATTATATAATAAACTATGTTTATGAACAATTATTCATAATATATCCTTTTTATCTAATCTATCAAATAGAAATTCAATTGAATAGTACTTCAGTTTAATGGGTATGCATGTCTGAGAGACTTTTTACAAACGCTCTATTTCAATAATTAGTTTTTATCTAAATACAGCGAGTGAATGTATTAAAACATTATTGGCAACCAATATGTTTCCAGGGTTTGAACATGACAGTATGGATACAAACATTGATTCAAATGACGGTGAGTTAATACAATGAACTGTACCTCCTTGAACGGAAATCATGTACTTTTCTTCATGTTTAGCTTTGGAAATTGCTTTGGAAATTGCCCCAACTGTTGAACAATTGCCAGAAATTAAAATCCTAGCCCATCCTAAATCTCGTCATCGTGTACGATACTCGAGTGAACAATATTCGTTAAGATACATTCAAACAGAGAAAAATGACAAATTCAGTTATCCAACAATAAAAGTAAATAACAGTTTAACAGCGATTCGTTAGTGCATCGAGCAAAAGTAATAAAACCCACATCATGTGATACAAATAGATCTTTTTCTAACCGTGCTCATTCGATAATCGAATTTCGATTTTCTGTTGAACATTCTCAATAATCGAATAAGTGATGTTAAGTTATAATTTTTTTAAGGAAATAGATCACATTTTTTTCTCAACAAACGACTGTTGTTTTAATTAAAATTTCTTTTCCATTCATACGTTATTTTCAGATTTTAAATTGCACATCGATTGAAAGAATATAATAGTTTTCAATTTTTCAGAATGAGCATTTGAAGTTGACGGAATTGAGACAATTAAGACTTTTAATTAAAGAGCATCTATTTTAATGTCAGGCGAATTTTTGAATGGACGCTTATTGTTTCTTGAGAGTGAAACTATCCATGTACTCTGTGATTCTAAGCGAAGTCAGTTTCTGCTAATATTTGAACGAACAAGCGTATAGTAGCGATACTTTATAACAGCAGGACTCCAACAGACATAGTCGTACAATAAAACTAACAGTTCATGCTTGATTAGCCCTTCCTGTAGGGAATTCACTTCTTCACAAATCAACTACAGCTTAGTGATATTAGGCGCAGGATCGACGATTAAAAATCCAGTTCAAGGAATCCTGTACAACTACTATTCATATTATAATAAAAAGTGTTGAAGTAATTATTTTTCATATTTTATTTTGTGACTAATTTATACCAGTTTTATTCGGACACCAGTCTTATTCGGACACCCGAATCGCGAATCATATGCTTCTTGCTTCGAATTCATAGGGTTTCTTGGAAGCCGTGCATCGAAAAAGTCAAAACGTTCAAAATAAAACTTTTAGAGATGCCAATTTGTAGAACACATCTTTGGTGGTCCTGTTATGTTTCGTCTTTTACATTCTTTCGTCTGACATGCAGTTCAAAGTTTGAAAATAAAATGTAGATGAAAAAAGACTTACATTAAAACAACTGTCACTTCTTGGGGAAAAACTTTGATCTGTTTTTTAAAAAATATATAAAAGAATGTTTCTAAGGTCTAAAAGTTTATAGGGAACTTTCAGCAAAGAATTGAATGAGCATAGTAAGAAAATAAACGTCTTCACATGTTATAAATCTTCTCGATAAAATCATGAACTTTTCAAAAGAGGTTTGGTAAAACAAAAGTTATTAAATTAAATTTAACTTAGATTTCATCTCAATGGTTCGGCAATTGTACTCGAAAATTGTATATTCGTGTGGGATTAACAACAGTTTTACATGACGGTCATCGCTATATCCATCCATATTCACTGAACACACCAAGTGAAGATATTTTAAATGGTTTTATCAATCCCAATGAAAATTGTCTTTATTTTCCTATTGAATCACAAAACAATAGTTTCGATGAAATGAGGTTCGCGTTTACTCACAAATAAGTGCATTTATCTCAGTACAAGATTGACTTTTGTTCTAGTTTTCGTCTAACAATTGTCAAGACTGAACAACGCAATTTAAACGAGCACGATCCATTAAAAATATTTGATTCTCGTAAGCTTTTCTCAGCATAGAACCGCTGTCATTACGCTATCATTAAGTTCATTTTATTTAAAATAAAGTTTAATTTTCAGCAAACTTAGTCGACAATCTTCAACCTGTTCCAACGACCGCAAAGAAATTTATTAAATTTTATAAACTTACACAATCTCAGTTAGTATTTACGATATTTGAACAAATTAACAATAATCAAATGATACCGTATGAACTGACCACAACATATTCTAATATTATGACAGAAGGATGTCAGTATTGAACATATTTCAGCTGTTTTTTATTACTTCATTATTAATACATTGTTTTTTTTAGCTTCAAAAGGTGAAAATTCAATTTATGCATATTTTCCTACAATGGGTAGTTGTGATGGTAATGAGGACATTATGATATGTTTCGAATCAACAATTTTAAATGTAAAAGGTACGTATAATACTCTTATTTTGGCTGCCTATTGAAATGATGGATTATTTTAGATCTCAAAGTTTATTTTGAAATTACGACTACACCTTGGTGTATAGAAGTGGAAGCAAACGTTAAAGATAAAAAACTAATTACATTTAAATCACCAAGGTGTCAAATGCCAATTTTAACGGCACCTGTTGAAGCTGAGATCGTGTTGAAACAAAATGGAACAACAATCACGAGATTAAAATATGTTTATAATCCAAAAAATCTATGTAAGTCGTAACGTCTCATTAGTTTATAAAACAATTTTGTAAAAGATATCTACCATCGAAATATTCATATCAGCATATTTTCTGTATATGTTGGTAAAACTGAAAGTGATTTTTTTATCAGCAACTTTTGAAAAAGAACTTTATCGTATTTAGGTGCACAATGTCGACACTTGTCTACTATGAATAATTTAACAACATTATCAGACTACAAAGACAGCGATAGTATACAAGTAGTTCCCCAATATGATCAAAAACCAAATATACTTGAGGTATTTCATTTAATATTTTGATGATGAATTCATTTGTTACCATCCTGCTCTGACATGCTAAAACCGATGTTAACGAATGCTATTCTTCTGACTTACTTTTTTCTCGTATCATAGGCTTGTACAGAATAAGAGTTTCTTGTGTAAGGATCTTCTACAAAATAAGACTAACTCGGACAACCTTTCTTTCAAAAGTAGTGAGAATTAAAATTTTGATTCAAAAATCATGGTTTTCCGACTTTTTCAAATTTCTTCTGTCCTTCGTTAACGAGGAACTAGTTTCTTCTTAATATTTTTGTAAAATGAACATTTCTTTTCAACTTTCAAGACGTCTCCCGTCTCTGTACAATATAATTTCGATATTTTATGAAGTGCCTCAGTGATGGTAGTTCAGAATTAGACCTGCCCGCATATTGGTATATTATGACCTTTTCATAAATTCATCCAATCGGGCCGAGAATTTTATCAGGGCTATCTGACAAATATTTCCAAGGTGGCACTTTTTGGTTTTCTTCACCTCCATTCCTTTTCGAGTTATAGCGAAAGTACTGAAAAACCACTAAAAATAGTTTTCGAAGCCCTATAACTCGAGAACGAAAGGCGATAGGGAAAACCAAAATGGTGCCACGTCGGAAAGGTTGTCAGATACCTCTGATAAAACTTTCGGCCTGATTAGATGTGTTTATCAAGAGGTCGTAATGTACCAAATTGCAAAATAGAGTTTTTCAAAAATCTCATGAAGGATGATGATAAGTAGAAAGTTGCTGCGAAAAACAGTGCAGGGAAGTGTTTCAAATCAATAATGAAAGTTTCAACTGTCATAAATTTTACTTTTTTTGACAGCATTTCTATGGAGAGTCAAAAAAACGGGGAGAGGTCTCCTTAAGGCGTTACAGAATGAAAATCAGCCATATCTTTTATTTTGCATTTATCACTTGCATGCAGAGAAGAGAATGATCTTCGATGAAAAATCTCTGACCTTCTTTGGAAAGTCTACTTGAATAAATAAAACAAATGGAAAGTGGATTTTTTTAGAGGGTAAGTTTACGTAAAACCGCGTTCTATTATAGTTGTTTAATTAAGCATTTGCTTAATTTGAGAATCGATGAGAAGTGAAGTTACAGATAAGTTTATTTTCGCTGATAAGTATTCTGAACCGAGAAAAACGTTTCTTCCAAAATAAACACCCTGCGTTTTCATAGTTTGTTACATTTATTATTTAGAATATTGTGGCTAATAGAAAGGAAAAACAATCATATTCACAGGTTTCATCTGTATCGCCGAACGATCATGGTACGTAAATCAGATTACAACGTTTTCAAGCTGATTATTTGTTCTAAAGAGTCGACTATTTACTATCCATTTCACAATATAGTGTCCTCCGATATTTTCCGAATAACTTTTGAACAGAAAGTGATGGAGACCAGCGATTTTCGTTTTCCGGTAGAAAACACCGGCGCACATCAATCTATTAAAAAGTCAAAATTTTCGGATAGATCTACCATGGTGTACCGCGTATAGGAAAAACTGAGGCATCCCCATTCCAAAAAAAAATCATAATAACCTATACTTTAAAAACGTGTCAAATATAGAGCGGCATCTTCTCTTTGCATCTGCACAAGTCCGAGATCTCCATCTACCACTGTTCAGAAACTGCAGCGGTTCTTCGAAGGCCTACCTGTCAGACGCTCCTTAGCCAGGGGAATCTTAAAAGTATATGCAAACGTAGGTTATCGACTATGCCGAATCTCGTGACAATGTTAATTTTCAGGACAAAATACAACAACCGAGTGAAAACCTATAATAGATGAAGTAACCCATTTTTGATTATTTTCATCAAAAACTAAAAAGTCGTAATTTATAATTTATACTCAGTTGCAATTTATCCGATTTACTTCAGAATGTCAGGAAATACTCTATTTTATCCGCTCATCCTGATTCTGTACTTAAAATCAATAAAAAGTATTCTCTTAGTTCTGGAGGTTTCTGTGAAACCTTTCTAGAAACCAAAGTATTTAAACTTAAAACAGTTGATGTAAACCACTGCAGCTGAACCGTGGTAGATGGAGATCAGGGACTTGTGCAGATGTAAAGAGAAGCTGCCGCTCCATATTTAAGACGTTTTTAAAGTAGAGGTTGTAATGATTTTTTTTGGAATGGGATGCCTCAGTTTTTCCTATACGCGGTACACCATGGTAGACCTGTCGGAAAATTTGACTTTTTAATAGATCGATGTGCGTCGGTGTTTTCTACCGGAAAACGAAAATCGCTGATCTCCATCTCCTTCTGTTCAAAATTGTTCAAAAAACTTCGGAGGATACCATATTGTGAGATGTATAGTAGTTATAGTTTCCAAAAGTTTAATAACCTTTGTTAGTGAATTTTGGAATCACTAAATAATGTCAAAATAGATCTAACTAATCATCCGCTTAATCGACAAACTCGTAAACGAAGCGAAATTTTTTTATTCTGGTCTTCAATCATTAATCCGTGTGTTATGACTTCGGATATTATACTAAGAGTTATCATTTTGACTTGTAATTCAGTAATAATAATGATGTTATTCATTATTAGTACATACCAGGGCTCTGTATGGTCTAGACCAAAATGAGAGTCAAAATTCTGCGTGCATACCAGAGATAGGTGATAATTGACTTGTTATTTTCCCTCTCCTACTCCACTGACTACGAACAACTTTTTTCACTTTGCAAGAGCAATTGTCGTTCACCTTTTCCCCTGCTTCCATCCCGTTCTGCGGAGATGTGTGGACAAAGTATCTAAAGACGAATTGACGAATCGCAACTTTTAAGCGTAAAAATGATGCAACAATTCGCGTTTTACCCTTATTTTGCGAATTCGTACCGAATTGATGCGAACTGT